ACCGGACAAAGGGAAAGTTGATTTTTTCAGCTATTGATATTGCCCATATGATGGAAATATTAAGCAATTTTATTGATGCAGTAAGACGTACATATGGTAATATCAAAAGAGTGATTGTCAAGACTTGTGAGGTATCGATTATATCAATAAATATGTCAAAGTTTGTGGTAGAATGAGACAGTTACAAACTTACCATGATCATACTTGTGTTTTGTCATACCTTCATTCTGTTTGGGATTGGTATGAAAATAGGTTGGTTGGTTGGCCAATCATCAAATCAAGTCAGTATAATTCTAAGTTTATTATATTATAGTTGATCATCATCATCATCATCATCATCAAGATCCAGATTAGGTGAATTTCTACAGCTTACACCTCTACATTCATCACACATGCAGGAGCATGTTAGTCCATGTTTTCTACATGTGCAATATGTCGTTCAACAGTCTGCTTTACATTTACATCTGATAACTTTTAGTAATTCGTCAGGTACAGGAAGCTTGTCAGTTTGGATAGCAAGCAATTTTCCCTTCTTCACTTTCCAGCCCCATTCTTCTGGATTATCATGAGTTTGCCCTTTCCACATCAGAACCTGGTGTAATACCCATTGACTATGGTAACATACAGATGTTGGTGGAATATTCCAGGCCCTACACATGTAACGTTTGTAGCAACTGTCTGAAGGAATTTTGCAATTCTGAGTGAATCCAATGTTTCATCAGACTTGCCACCATATAAAAGGACCAACGCTTGTTCTCCTGACTTCACAATGTCGTCTTTTGAAGCATCATCTTGGTCAAACACTGAAGCATGACATTTAAACTGCTTGTTGGTTTGGAATTCAGACAGACCCTTTTTCCTAAGTCATATATCTTGGATGTTGTGTCACAGCCCAAGACAACATGTATAAATAATATGTTTTTGCAAACAAGTGGTCCTAGTTTTGTCTTTGGTATGTTTTATGTCCAACACTTTGACTTCGTTTATTGTATTTCGCCGTGCCTCTGGTTTAAAATACAGTTTGTGACTATTTACGTTGGCATTGTAGATCAACAACACTAACAAGTCTGTGTCCTCACCTACAACTACCATTGGTGCATTGACAGCTATGTCTACAGCTTTCATCACTATAAGGACATCTGCATGTTCTTCAGCATGTCGAACCTTGATTCCCTTCATCCAGTTCAGTTCCCAGGATATTAATGAACCGCTGCTTATTTGCTGCATTTGCAAGGAACTGTTGTTTCTTCATATTCATACCATGTCAGAATCAAAGTAACACCAGTAGACATTTTCCCTATTGAACGCCAAAGATGAGTTGTGTCTTTTGTTAAAAAAAAACTGTTGATTCTTTACCATATTTGCGGTCAATGTAATCAAGTTAAAGTTTGCAGATGCCCTTATATGTTAGTCTTCTTGGCCATGGAATTCTCTGTAAAAGTGAACCTCCATCAATAACATACTTAACCTCATTGGACATGTCACTAGTAATGGGACCAACACATTTCCAGACTGCTTTGGCTAAAGTTGGCTTGTTTGCTTCCCACATCAATCCATCTAAGGAAAACATTGCTGGTGGATGAGTACACAGCTCATATGTGAAAAGACTGGACAACTCGTCTGTTGATACAATTCCCCTTGCAATGGAAACAAGTCTTTGAAATAACAACTGGGGATCAACTTATACTTCATCTGCATCAAGCTTTAATGATGTTTTCACACAGCCTGTTCTTTTTTAGTGAATGAAAAATCACTTGCACTTTTTCCAATCATAGACTTTATTATTTCAGCACCAATAGATCTAGCATTATCGACATTTACTGTGTCAGCAACAACTCCAGTAGCATAGAGAAGAGTTGTTCTTGAATGGATTTTTTGTACGAAGAAACTGTACCAACTCCGTTAAGTCATTATGATTTCTAATTTGCCTGGTGGTTGACTTCTGCACATACAGGTGTTGTATTTCTGACATACCTCTACCCCTTGTCAGCCTACCACTTGCTTTCACACTCCTCATCAACACTTGTTCAATTGCAAAATCATATACTGTGGAATACTTTATTTTCGCTGGAATTAATTTTCGCTGAAAAGGCTTCTTGGGCGTTTTGCTTGAAATTTATTTTCACTGATTTTTCATGAGTTTAATGTGAAATATAGGAAAAAAAAGTATATTCGCTGGATTTTATTTTCACGGAATCATCCCTTCAGCGAAAATAGCGAAAATAAATTCCAAGCGAAAATAAAGTATTCTACAGTACCTGCCCATTACCTGTCTGTCCGCCTAACCACATCGTATCCATTCAGGAATGATCAAAATACATCAGCATTACCTTCTGGTAGTTTTGACATAATCTGAAGATATATGCACACTGACTTTGCATAAAGATTATGGTCAGATGCAGCAAAGTATTGAAGCATGTTTGAAAAAGCTTTTAGGTGGAGAGACCAGTTACCAGTTCTTTCAGCTTTAATGAACTCCTGGAGTATTTCAATCATCTCTATGTACTGTAACCATAACTTGGATGTTCTAAGGGAAGCGAGCGTTTCCTTGAATTGTTTTTTTTTCCTGTCAGTCAGTACATCCTCCGAATAAACCGATTTTATCTCTGTCCCACGTGCAAGCAGCCTCTCTAGGAATGATCCCTGCTTCTTTCAACTCATTTGTTGTATCTTCTGTTTGTGACTGATTTGCATTACTGGAATCGCAATGTTCGGGTATATCTGTTAATTCACTGGCACTGGTATCTTCTTGATTCTTTTCTTGATAATGGAAGGTCATACATCATTGACAAAAGCAATGCATATAATGCTGCTTCCACTAGAATGTGACCCCTAATACCCCTGGAAATGACCTTGCCACTCAACATATGTCCAATAGCATTTTCGGCATAAATTGTCTCCAATAGTTCCTTGAGTCCAGATCCACTCATCAAATGTCCAATGCAACTCAGAAAACTCATTTGCACATGCAGACCACCCAGTATGAGAACAATATTCCTCACACTGCTACTTGTGGGCTCATTATGTTGGATTTCCGGTGATTTCCACCACAAAGGCTGGTCGAAGGTGAGCACTGGTGTTACATCATACTTCTTGGCTTGTTCACTGATGAAGCACCTAGTTGAGAAGATACATGGTTCATCAGTTGATTTCATATCGATTGGCATGAACATTATAGATGAGACCCCAGGATGAGGACCTTGATGTACCATTTGCGTAAAACCATTTCAAGATGGTCTAGATGGATGTAACAACCAAGAGATTTTCCACAGAAGATCCACATTCAATGTATCATCATCTGCTATTAAACTGGGTAACTGGGCATACTTTAATTTGGTCATGCCCTTTGATACCTGCTTATAATATTTAATATTGAATTTTGCAACGGAATCTATATCCTCGGATGTGACATGAACTTTAGGTATGGTGTTGTTCCACAATATCCCCGGTTTTTAATGTCGTTATTATGAAACGTGTTCAGATCATTAATGGTCCGGACATTATGGTCAACATTATCAGCTACATGTTGTATAAATTGTCTGGGTGTGAAATCAGGAATGTCAGTTGCTTGGTGCAAAGTGGCACTACGTTCCTACCTCTGCATATGATGAACAAATTCCCATGACTATGGAGAGAATCAATGAGAAATCGTGAGCCAAACTGGCGATGCATTTGAACAGCAAGTCCTATTTGTAGTGGAGTCACTATATGATGGCCTGCCCGATGGATGCCACCTTAACATCAGTGTCTTTTCCAACAAGCATATCTTGAAATAAAACTTTCATGGTGTACGGAAGGTACTAAATGGCTTTCTCAGTCCATTGCATTTCTTCAATCAAAAGTCATATTGACTTTACAAACTGAGCAATTTATTATGATTGACAGTCATGCAAGGACTTGCAAATGGCTTGTTTAACTATATTAAAATATGATTACTCTAAACAGAGCAAATAATGCAGAAAGGAAAAAGAGAAGTAATCATAGCAAAGTGTTTATATAAGTCTTACCATAACAATCTTCCTTGTGTAACAGGATTCAGCTATATTTTGGGAATATCAGGGTGTTTGAAAACCTCTGGAAATTACAAACGAGTCATTAAAAGTTCAGTTTCCTAGATGCTGGTGCTTAGAAATAAAGGAAAGATATTTTGTTATACCGATTAAAATAATTGTAAAAAATGCTGACATCAGCAAATTTCTGTTCTATAACTGGCGGATAGTTTCTTCAGTTTATCTAAATAAAAAGTGTATAGAAAACACTAGCAATATCTATATGAAATAATGTGTAGGCTGTAAGTAATATTAATTACAAAATATAAATGTAAGAAAAATCTAAAATGTACGAAAAACACTACCCCTTACTTCTACCTGTGTAAAAAAAATTGCCCACGTTATCAAGTTTTTTTTTGGTAAATCTACAAAAAATTCCCTATCTTTTGATACTAAACTTGTTAATGTACTATTTACTTCCCGGTTCGACCTGTTTCAGGGCTAAATCTTGTTCATGGGAATCCAGAAGATTAGTAATTCTGCATAGTTTACTCTGAAGTTATACTTTTTTTACTTCAATGTTTGAGATATCTGAATAACTATCTGAATGACAAACATTTTGTAAGATCCAGTGAATGGACTTAATTGGTAGCGTGTGGGAGCTCTTGTTCTATCAAAAAAGAAAAATGTACAGTACAGTACTATCGCTGTTGATATTTTTATGAACTGTATTACAGATATTAGCATGCAATGTTTCTTTTATTCGCTAAAAAAATGTACAATGTTGTAAACACAACATCACTAAACAAAAAATGCTTGAGTGTCTACAGATATTACACAATCACCTATGGTTGCCATGATATCTCGCAAAACTTAATAGGAAACCAATAACACTGGTCTGTAACACTTAAGAAAGATGAGGTGTGAAGTGACAGGTTGCCCATAGTCTTAGCGGGTTTGAGCGAAGAAGGCTCAGAAATTTATACAGGGTCGCAGAAAATTAAAGAGGGAACACACCGCCCCTCCTAAACTTCTTGGGGAGAATTCTGGGAAAGCTGACAAGCTCAAATATGGTATAAGTTGATATATAAGTAGAACTGTCGAGTTGTCTTTTCTAAGATTTGAAATTATTTCGTTTGTTAAACAGTTAAAAATTATATTAAAATTATAATGCATGTGATTCAGGAGTTGAAATGTTTATGATCCAATCTGCTGATTTCTGTTGGGTCAGTAAAATTTGGAAGTAGTTTACAACACTCACTTGCCGGGTTTGTGACTGGAGCATACCATCATCTGAAATAAGCTGATGAGAATGTTGGTAGGGGCTAACCTTAGCAGTAGTGATATAGTGAATTATTTGATTGTTGCAGGTATGACACAGACAGACTAGTAAAAGATGTGGTGTGTTTTGATGCTGCCAATTTCCATGCTGTAGTAGAAGAATTACAGTTGGATCTTCATGAACCCCCTATGTCACAGGTGAGATATTTCTGCTTTTCTTTCACTATAGGATAATTTTGCCATTCAGTAGCTTGTTTTTGAATGACAACTTTTAAACTAGCCTTTGTATTGACTTGACTAATTTGTTGATTTTTGATTTTTTCTTCAGTGTGTGCAATGGTTAGAGACTGCCAAATTGAATCATCTGAGAAGGGAAGGTGTTAAATATGCAAAGATTGGTCTCCGAGACAATGATGTATACTTCATACCACGCAGTATCGTCCATCAGTTCCAAACCACTTCAGCCTGTACCAGCATTGCTTGGCATATTAGACTTAAACAATACTATCCAGAGTATACCGAAGAGGAGGAAGATGAGCAGGACAAAATGGAAGTGGCAGAAAAGGGAGAAGAGATAGCAGCTGTAGTGGAAAAGGAGGATGAAAGCAATGAGATGGAAGTTCATGTGACAGATAACTTATCTACTGAGTCACATTTGCAGGCAGTATCTCAGCCAGTTGAGTTTTCAGAGTCTTCACCAGAAGTTGATAAAACTTGCAATGATGAAGTGGCAGAAGTTCAACCGACTGCAAATAATGATCTTAAGTTACAGATCGATGTAAAAGAAGAAGTATTCGAAGAAGGCCACACAACAAAGACAGACATGTAATTTTGCAGTTTTTATAGTATTTATTGCAATTCATGATTTCCACACCTAGAATTAATTACAAAATGACAGTATTTCAAGAGTAAGATCTATACCAGAATATTCAAATTCACCTGTATTGAGGTTACAAAAAATGCTCATTTTCTCATTTGTAGCAATTGAACTCAGGTTTGCTCCAGCCCTATGTTCAGAACATCTATATGTTTAATCAGCATGTAGCATGTAGAATCTACACTACTATAGCCCCTCTTCTCTTATTCCTTGTCCTCAGGAAATCATCACTTTTCTTATTTAAAAATACCAGGAAGAACAAGTTAAATTACTTTGCAGTACAGGATCTAACAAAATCTAAATTGTAGACTTTTTACATAAAGCCTTATTTAACTCAAAAGTGCATGATTGCTACATTTAAATACATGATGTATTTGTAATATAAATTTAATATAGCGACAGGAAAATTATTTAATCCATTTTTCTGTCAGCTTTGTTTGTAGATTCTAGCTAAGCATACATGAAGATGTTAATTGCTATGTTCACACGGCAGCATTCTATTCTATCGGAGCCGAACTACTGCTCCTCCCACGGATTAACAGGAGATTATCTACAATGCGTTCATACGGTCGGGAGCCGAACGAGAGCCAAGATCTGCCAGAGTTAGATTTAGTTCGATCAGAGCCGAGCGGAACAGTGCCCTTGAATAATTAGTGACTGAAAACGATTTTAGTGTCGTGCTTGTGTTTTTTTCTTTACATGGCATGATGCTGTTGAGCTAGGAGAAAATGGAGCCTGACCATGGAGGTAGAAAAGACAATGACTGGTATTTTAAATTTGGTACTAGTATCTCGAATAAACAGGAAACACGGCAGCTAAAATACGTTTAATACAGCCTATTCGCTCAAGTTATTGTCATGCAAAATTACCATTTTGTAACTATTCAACTGTGGTGATATCTATTAAAACTCCTAGGAAGAATCACAGATTCTCTCCATCTATCATAGACGGTGAT